AATACATTGAACAAAAAACAAGTTATCAAAGTCTAACGTAATTGATTTTGTTTCTTGTCGAGAGTAAGTCTTGTAGAAGGAGAAAAGTAAATGCGTTCACTCACAGTCAATCAAACTAAATTGTTGGAATGCGTATAGCGAAATATCCAACGACACTTAAATTATGAGCACTACAAAAAACCCTCCCAAATAGCCAACGTCAGTCAAATTTTATTGCAATATAAAGAAAGCAGAATCCAAAATTATAGAAGAAAATTGTTCTTTATAAAATTCTGCTTAGTTCATTCAAAAGGGCCTATGTACAGCTTTCTCATAAGTTGAGTTATTTCTTCTAAACGGCGCAAAAAATTACGTATTTTTGGCCGTAACTGCAAACGATACTCGAAATGCAAACGAAAGAAAGGAAGGCATAGAACATTTAAACACTTTAGTGCGAACCCAACACTGGACGGAGCATTTATTTCGCAGAGTAGTTGCTTCCTTTAGTATATTCGAACTAGGAAATATATCCTCAAATTTAACGTTTCAAATTAGAATAAACATAAACTTGAAAGTGTCGTTACTCTTCATCAAACTAAACAAAAGAGTAACATTGAATTTTACAAAAAAAAAGAGATAAATGCATAAGTCTTGATTATACATCTCATATTGAGATTCCCTATACTGTTAAATAATTTTTTGGAGAGTTGAAACCCCCTGACGCCTCTTACATATAGACCGAGATTTCAGTAAATCATAAATCAATTTAACAATTCAATTATTATGGAAATTTATTATTTGATATAACGAATATTTCATTAAAATACGGTTCTAAGTAAATTTTCTACAAATATTTATATGGTTATAGAATATTGTACATAGTAAGAATAATGATAAACATATTATTAATAGAATTATACCTATTTATTAACAAAATCAATGATTTTGAATGACCTTAGTTAAATCATAGTCTGCCTAGATTTCTTCTTCTTTTTTTCTAGATTTAGTTGCAAGCTTAGATAATTGTGTGTTTAATGTAAACAAATGGAAGATTTTTGCAGTACTTAATGTTCATAATATCAATATTAAACCAAAGGGTTCTGTACATAAAACCATATTTTTGGGAAGAGCTTTAAACACTGCAAATATATGTTCCATTATAAGTAGTGTTTCACCTAGCAAAAATTTACCTGATAAAAGGTAGATTTACTTCAGAGTAAATAAATAATGTGCAGTGTGACTGTAGTATGAAACAACGATATATTGAAATCGTAAGACATGCGAAGAAATTAAACAGAGTGCAATTTTAGTGCAATACACATGCATATATTGGATTTGTTAGACATGTGAAAAAACTACACACAAGTATAGTACAATCAGCCAATATTGCAGCTGGAAACCATTAGATAATATTTTTCCTATATTTTTCTATTTGTAAACAATATTATCTGTGTACTTCAATTCTTCAATAATTTTAACATCTTCATTCTTATGCTCACTTTTTTGGAGAAAGTATCAACAATTATAATTTTGACACCTGTAGTATTAGAAAAGGTTAGATACACTGTTAAATTGGTATGAGTGAAAGCAATAGAGGTATGGAGTGAATTCGTTGAGTGAAATTATTGAGTACATTTTCTCTCAATATTGAGCATTTTGATAATTTTACTCATTTGTGATATTTGAATTAAAACTGAATACCTTCACTCAAATATAGGTACCAGTTAAATAAATTCTGCAGAGAAACTCGTATTTGGTGCACTTGTAACTAAATCGGAGTAAATGTCCTTATTATTGAGTGACCCCACCCGATTCAATGGTTGTCATGCGTTGTCTTTGTCCATTCCCATCGTCCCCATTAGATCTCGTGGCGTGGTGTATGGCGTATAGTACTGGACAAAATATTAAGTGATTTTTTGACTGTGTACCGTTTCCTCCACTCTTATCGAAATCACTGAAGGTTTTTTTTCATCAAAATTTACATGAAACAGAGCCCTGTATCAAATTTGAAGTCTATATCTTCCAAACTCTGGAGGATCGTAGAGATTTAAGAAAATTTTCAGAAACAAAATTACCATTCTTATTTTGCTTTGTTTGTTATATTGAAGTAAAACCGAGTGTATGACAGAGGTATGGAAGTTAAAAAGTATTTGTAATGCATCAAGAGAGCATTTTTAAACCATAAATCATGACTACTTGATCTTGCAAGGAAAAACCAAAAAAAATTCCAATATGAATAATGTATGAAGACGGTCAACAAATATTCAAAACAAATGCAATGTACAGTTATGTTTACACTGAAAGAAATGCGTTTTATTCTTTATTAGAATTTTATATAGCATTATAAGACCATTGTATACTATATGTGACAGTTAAACAGGTGAATATTGGATATAAAACGCGTATTGCTAGCACAGTTGTATAGTGACTATAAACCTTATTCTTTATTAAATTATTGTATACAGTATACTAGTATACAACGTTTTTTATACCCTTTACGAAATAATAGCAATAACTGTTATTAAAGTGTTCCATATCGTTATTAGAACATCTAGTACTGGTTATTAGTTTTATAATAATAAATATATTAAACTGTTGTATACTCTGCATGAGTTAAAAACATATGTCATTAAGTTTTCAGAAATTTTATTGGATAACTGTAATTACAAACTAGGGTTCTAATGTAAACATACATAAAACATACTTTTAAGCACCCAAAACTGTCCAGTTTATTTTCTTAGCAACGATGCACCCGTATTTACTTGTATTACATGAGAATTTGCACTATAACTCTTCCACCTTAAGAATGAAGCATCCCCAGAAAGATTGAGCTTCTTTCCATATAATTTTATTTCCTCTGGTTGATTGACTTTATACCCATGCTTTTCTTTGTCACCGTTAACCTTCTGTTCCTCCATCTTATGTAAAACTTAACATCAGCGATTTCTAATAGGACCTACAAAATAATAATTTTTAAGATTTAAACAAGTTTTACATTTGAAAAAACAAAACAATTACAAGCCATAAAACAGTTAGATACTTACATAATAATTTTCCATTTCACACAACGCGATATGATCATGTATCCCACAAAACATGTGCATATACTGTCCATTTTCATCAAACTAGACGTGTGTAAGTCGATGCACAGCGGACTGTCGAAAATTTTACGATTGTCTCCTTGAGTAAAGATAATAAAGACGTTGTGGTTTTGTGTGTTTATTTTGACAATGATGGAACATCTATGGACAATAAAAGTGGACTGTATAAGATAGTTGAGTACCGTTCTGGTTCATGCATAGCATGCTACTGAAATCATAGAAGGGATGAGCTCGTGCGGCGAACCCTAAATCAACGGCTGGAATAGCCAGGTTTCTTATTGAGTCGGCGCACTTCGCTCTCGGGTCTGACATATGATTATTATTACAAGACTATGAATATAACTTAATAACGATCATAACCGATTATACACCGAGAGGTGACGATCACTTAACCATTATAAGATGCGTTTTACACGTTAAAAACGGAAACATATTCAGTGTAAGAACGAATAATTCTATTAATACAATTGTTATATTGTATTATTATATTCGGATACTGGTCTTTATACAACAAATCTTCCCTACTATACAATTGGAATATAAAGTCTATAGCACCTAATAATGTATAAGTAATTCATTATAACCTTTATTTCATAGATGCATAAGGTGTATTAAGCACCTTCCAGTTAAACTCATTGTATAATGAGTATGGAGATGATTCCTTTTTTTTAATAAAAGTTGTATATTGGTTATAAAAGTTTTAATATGCGCTATACACATTATTCTAGATAAACAGTTTAATAAGCCCATTTCTTTCAGTGTATGTTATTGGAAATAATTCCTATAACCATCGAATAGCTGGCTTATATTATGGATAAACAATTCCCGGCGGGCAGCGCTGTTATTCCACGAGCCTCCACACCTTAAATTAGAATTTAATCGGAATACCTCGACGCTCTTAAAAACACGTTACCTAAACGACGTACAATTAAGATGCACTCTATGTATTCGACATCAATAGGTGTAAAGCGATATTAGCAAGACGTGTGCGCGCTCCACACGTCCTCTAAAAGCCGTGTGATTTACTGTGCTAACCGCGACTTTGAGCATATCATAGTTGTCGTGTTCCATTACGGGGACAGTGACTTGCATTTATAATTGTGTTAAATTACCCACACTCTCTCAGATAAGAGTTAATTTAATAATGCAGGTAGATCCAGCCAAGTCACTGCATACGGGGAGTGGCGCTCCGTGCTCTTTTAAATATCAATGATAAATCACGGGGATTTTGTATGGCTGGAGGTTTTTATATCATCGTTACGATGGTGTTTAATGATCTGTGTTTTGATTGGTGGCCTTTTAATGATCTTTAGATAAGCTTTGTTTCATCTATCCCGTATGCCTCGTCACCTCAGAGTGGGAAGTGTCGCTGTTTTTTTTATGTGACATGGATATATCGAGCTGATTTATCTAAATTGAGATCCGTTATATCTATTTTATCTTTGCGTGTTTTTCAGTGAGTCATCTTTAGTCTATGTAGACAAAATACAGCATCACTGTATATCGAATAAATCAATGCAGTAATTAATATTTCAATTTTAAGTAAAAACGCTGTTCTATTTTTTATAGGTACTACCATCTGATATCCATTCAAAAGTCAGATGGTTATTATTACTCTTATGTACGGAAACAAACTTCTGGTAGTCAAAACAAACAATTCAAGAAACATAATACAGGGTGTTTCAGTTCGAGTGAATCAAACTTTAACTACAAACAGAACTCAATAAATAATTCGGAATTGCCTTATAAAGCAAGGGTCTAAGTCTCACCGTTTTCACTGTACAGGACCGTATTGGTCGTTTTTAAAATCATGATTATTTATGAAATCTTCGGTATGCTTATAACAAATTGATTCATTTGGTGTAGTGTTAACATTTACACATGTGCATAATTTACTGTAAAATTTACAAATTTTTGTAGGTTAGTGGCGTAGAGATGGGTAGTAAAGCGGAATTTTTTTACCCCATCTTCTACGCCAATGACCTAATAATCTTCTATGCCAATGATCTAATAACACAGGCACACACAAATTTCATGAACCAGAGGGTAGACCCCACTATTCTTAGATTTTTGGGGTCGCTGAAACCGAATATGACCATAAAAAATTATTTCAATTGCCCGTTTCCCGCTAGCACCTCCTGAAGGGGGTTAAATTTTAAATTTTCTTACAAAATTAAGATGTATGCTGTATGTATTGAATGGGAGACCAATCTTCTGATTTAAGAAATTTAGTTTCTTAAGGATAGGAAATACATTTTAAATTAATATTATTATGTCACGTATTAACTTAAAATTCAAAACATTCATTGCCTGGTACTGTTCATAAGTCAAACACCTAAATAATAAAGAGAGCTGGTCCAAAAACTGATCCTTGGGGAACACGTCAACCTGATCACACTGTCATTTGGGCAACATATAAGTGACTTATGGAGAGTCAAAGACAATTTAATAGCAAAGATATTTAAGAAGTAATAATATACAAAACATGACATGTTTTATAGGTTATATCTCACCAATATTCAATTGAGCGACCTACTATCACAGAAGGAAAATTATTTGTCAGAAATGGCTTTAATCCATACCAGAACATTTCCTCTGATTCTCAAATGCTAGTCAATTTCGTGGTATGCCATTGAAAGCTTTTACAAAATCCAGGTTCTTTTCGTGCAGGCAATAGTTGCTTCGAGAAAACAAATGACGGTCGAATTTTTTGGAAGGAAGCCATGCCAGTTTGAAGAAACAATATTGATATAACTATGATTAACACGAGACTCATTACAGAACTGGGCACAGTTTTCTTATGCAAATATGAGTGTGTCACAGAAAATATCGCAGCACAATAGTATTAGTACTAAGCTACTGAAACGTAACAAGCTTATCCACTTATTGGTTTAGCCTCTAGATGTTGTTAAAATTAGCAATATTTTTTTTCAAATAACTCTAAAACGCTTTCTCCAATTTAAATGAAATTTGGTATGCTAATGCTTGTGTCTAGATGTCATTCAAATGCATAGCTGTACTCCCACTCCTAAGCAAATATGTATATATTTTTGTTGCAGCTGATGTGACAACTTTATTAGCGTAAAATGTTTGTTTTCCTAACGATTTTCGACTAGTTAATAATTATTTTATTAATCTTCACTAAAGCATTTTTGATACAAGTGTGATTTAATTGTAATCAAAACTTTTGTTTATTTCATAATAAAACTAAATAATGTTTCATGGGATATAGAAGCTTTTAGTGGAATGTTTTTCTACCGCAGAAATTAGGTATTGAAAATGGTGACTATTTGCAATAATTTTCATTAGAGTAATGCTTTAAATCTAAATTAGCCATAAGCGGAGGGCAATCAATAAAGGGAACAACTTGCCGCAAACAAATTTTTTTAATCTTCATACTTATAGATGGTGTTAATAAGAGAATTTCTGATTTTTGTAACAAAAATTAGTGAATATGTGAATACGCCGATCGTCAGATTTTTTCAACTTTATTTGTTGTTTTTCGACAATAATTACTTTTTTTACTATAGTTTTTAACTATAACTTTTTATAAGTAACTTTATAAGCATTTTGCACAGACAAACACTGTTAAGGAAATAATCCAGTTATTTTTTTACATCTAAAAATGACTCACCCTGTACAGTAACTCGGTGTATATTTATAACCATATGTTTTATTTCGTTGCGAGTTCCTTGTTAACTAACAACCACAATTTTTAATGTAGGACTTCATGACTAATGAAAATGACAGAGTGAATCTTTTTTCTTTCATTTGCATTTTGTTCGTTTAGGCAAAATTTTATACACGAGCCATTATATTCCTAAAGCTAGATTTAGATTCCATGTTTCGTCGGCAAATCTAAAAATACGTAGACCTCTTTATGTAAATTCCATAAATTAAAATGTCAGTGGAGTACCTACTTCCGCTTGTATCAGAATATATTATAAAATTTTGCACCCAATTATAAGTTAAAAATATGATTCCCGGTAATAATAGCCCGTGTGAGATAATTTACGTACTGACTTTTATATATTACTTAAGGCAGATGTTTTCGGTTTACAATAAAAGCTTGTGGAACTGAGTGCTAAAAAAATAGCCAAAAAGTAACGATGCGTTTCATCGGGTTGGGCCATAAAACGAAATGTACTCTTGACAAATATTGTTATTTTTGGTATCTCGGGCATTCTTAATTGCGAAGCGTATGAATGCGTTGTTTACATTTCAATAGAGTAGAGAGGTATTAGCTATTATTTCGTTTATAGCTCTCGGAGGATTAAGTGTTTGCTTTACGACCGACCATAATTTTTAGGTTCTATTCGATTTTTTTCGAATGATGTGGGAACGCGTATGATAAATTTTAATAATATACAGACGCATGCAAGAATTTCTACAACGCTGTTAACGTCGAAGGTAATACAGTTCCACAAAAAAAGAATTAAACAAAAATTACCCCTACTGACTCCAGACTTACTATGTTTATCATATGTTTTCAGGGCCCTTAAGGAGTTAAGAAATTATGAGGTTATTGGGATTGAGTGGTCGATGGATAGAGGATTTATTATTTTTTGAGGTTATGAGAAATCCTGACGTGATGGGGTTAAATGGACCCCGAATTTGAATTAAGCGACCCCGAAAACATGTGATAGACATAGTCGATTTTTTTTGTGGAGCGGTATAATTCATGTCAAGTCATGTCTCAAAAAAATTATTTAGAGTAAAATCTCTTTCTATTAGTTTCATACTACATGTTAAATTAATGATGTATAATTTTCTCCTGTATTAATTTGGGTATTTTTATTAAAAGAAGAAAATAGGAAAAAACTAAAACTGTGTCCTAAATACCTAAGTAACTTCAAAATAAGTTGAAATAAACAAATTCTTCACTGATACTTTTTTCGGAACTGGAACGGAAACTATAGTACGATCATATTCGAAGTAATAAATCATTGCCTGTTAAGGGATCCAGTGCAATACGCTTTTAAGGGGTATAGAAATTGAATAATTTCTTTATACATTATGAAAAGACGAAGGGATCAGTTCAGTCTGACACCCTTGTTCCTACAAAAATTCCTTTATTTTCATAAATTATTTATTTTCGCCTTCAAGAATGTAGCAATCAAATGACTTCATGGTGTGAAATAAATCGTCTGAAACTTAATATATCTAAATGCCATGTAATGACTTACACTCGCAAGACTAGCTTTCCCATTTATAACTACTCCATTGGTGATAGTGTTGTTGGTAGAATAGAAGTATTCAATGATTTGGGTATATACTTTGACAGTAAACTTACTTTTATTGATCATATCAATAATACTGTTTCTGTGCCTTTAAATCGTATGGCTTTATTTATCGTAAGTGCCGGGATCTTTCCAGTAACACTTTTAAAACCCTGTTTTGTGCTTTTGTGAGATCTAAACTGGAATATGGCTCGATGATATGGCTCAATTTATCAAGTTCATTGTCAGCGGTTGGAATCAGCTCAGAGATAGTTTTTTAAATTTTTATCTTATTTGCAAGATGGGTCTTATCCTCCCAGAGGTTTTCCCCATAATCAACTGCTTAACAGATTTTGATTCACTGGAAACCAGTAATATTATGTTGATTCGTTTTCTGTACAACATTTTAAATAACAATATTGATTGTCCTGAACTTTTAGAAAACATTTTTTGATACCTCGTGAGAATTCTAGACAGCAAGCTCTGTTCTACTGCTCCTCGTACAAACATTTTAACAGTCTCCTATATCATGGGCTTTATAATAATATATATGATGTGTGGGCTTTATAATAAAATTGCTTCTAACTGTGATATACATAGTGATACATTAAAGAGTATATGTAGCTGGGTGGCTCGTTTAACGTGATTTTGTGTTGACTTGTATTTTATGTAAATTACATTTTGTTGTATCATGTTGGAGCGTTATTTTTTTTTTGTTCTTTTTTTGTAAATTTTTTATCAGCAGTACATTTATTTATATATAATTTATATATTTATGTATGTATGTAGGTACATGCACCACAAATTATTGTAATTATTGTACTTTTGTCATGTTTTCTTTAATTTATTTTAAATTCCACATTTTACCTCTATACGCGCCACTGTTGTTTACCAAGCGCGCCAGGTTAGTATTTGACGTATAACCGAACACTTCGTACACTCGATGCACCTGGGCGACTACAGCTACTACCAGAACATGGTGCGTATGCAGCGGTATTTCAAGTTTTACATTCAATTTCATTTTAAATTTGAAATGGTTCATCTTACGCCTCCTAAAAATGATAATGCGATTTTCCTTTGATAAATGACCGACAATTGTTTGCTCTACTTTGCATCGAATACGATCCTACTGTAAATAAATCAGTTTTCTTTTAACAGAAACATTGTTTTAATTTAATTTTGAATATTATATTAAAGAACATAATGCTACCGATCAATGATAACGGAAGTAACGGAACATTTTATTCAATGTAAGCATTAAATATGTTACGTAATTGAGCTTGCCTTAAACAGGTGTCGATTCGAAGGCGACGATATACCCGCCCTATAAAATTGACCCTAGTCTGACGTGTAATTTCGTAGCAGCGTATGCCAGCCACCAAGCAGAACAAAAATTGACCCGAATCCCGATTTTCAATCAGGGAAATGTATGTTAATTAGTTGCCTCATTCATAACGACATATTATGTACACGTAAATCACAACATCAATAGCAATGATGGAAATTAGTTGTTATTGTATACAGAGCTGAAACCAAACATGTCATCACGAATCACAAATGCATGCCTGGCTTTGTACGTCCATATCAATATTTGACAAAGGCCTTTGTGGCCGGTTAAATTATTATACATCGATTTACATTCGAATAAATTTAGCTTAATTAGCGATGGCTGCACACGGGAAACAGTGGAAAAACAGGATTATTTCCATGTAATTACATAGGCATGAAATAGAACATTTTTAAAAGCATTCTAGTAAGTATAGCTTTCTTTAGAAAAAGTATATGTTTGGGCACATTCCAATCTAAAAGGTAACATTACTCATAGAA